GTGTCTCAGGCTCGGATCCGGCGTCGCAAAGCGAACGATTCGAGTGTATTTACGGCGATCCTATTATGAGGGCTATTTGGTTATTGCTATTCGTTCTAAGTCCAGGAAATCCCGAGCGTAAGTGTTGATCACTAATTCAATCTCTACTATCCTTTAAAATAATGCGCCCCGTCCTTGTTAAGCTGGTTTTTCTTGTTTTTACGGTGAATGATATGCATTCTTCTGGGAGACCTAATTAAAATATTTACAGTGTTTCTGTTGTGGTCTCTGCCGATATCCTTTTTGGGAAATTTGTTTTTATAGCTTTGGAATGTATCGACAACCAGGCAGAGGTTGGCAGATGCCTTCGTCCTCTGTTAGACGTATGGGAGGCGATTAGGGAAGCCGAATATGATGTTCAGAACCTTCTATTCCCGGTACTTGAAGCAAGTTCTCACTTCACAGCCTTTTTTTCGCAGAAATATCCATTAAGGTGCCCTTCTATTCCAAAAAAGCCATTCATCGCCTCTGTGCCTCCTACATAAGCTCCATGGACAACTGCTCCGAACAGCCATCTGTGATGAAGTAAGCAGGAGAGAACTATCTGCTAGCATGTTTACTATTTGATATGTGGCACTTTAGATGTAAAGAGAATCCTCTCATGATGTTCGTCGAGAGCCATTTGAAGTTCTTTTGCGGAAGCTACGGACCTGCCTATCTTGGTAAGATGGAATACTGTTTTTGCTATAAATTTCAATTCGTGCCCTTACATATATGCACAATGAATAGATGACTCTTGCGGGTAAGCTAAACTTCTTTTTTAGCCGAAAAACAACTTGGGTCATGCCAAAAATGGGAGTTTTCTGCGGACTCACTGGAGCATAGCTGCTCTGTGTATAAAAAATATACTTTTGCAAAAAAGGATGTGCTGCGGAATTACTTACCCATCAAAGTTTGAACTCAAGTACGCATCGAACTGCGTACATTAATAAGGACAAATTTTTCCCGACCAAAGAGAACATCCAGGGGACGAGGTCCCGACTGTCGGGACCTTGTTCCCATCGAATACAATCAAAATCGTTTTACCCTTTGGAGCCCGTTTTGCTGTCATGTGCAGCACGCGCCCATCACCAGTGGACTAGTCGTTGGGTTTTGGGCAACTCCTCCTGTCCCATTCTGGCAGAATGCTTCCCTGGTATCAGAGGCCCTTCACATATTTCTTGGAGCAGTTTATCGACGGGGGGGGCATTTTGCTTTCCATAGATGTGTCGACCCATCTAGGTAGCGTTTTCTTGAGTTGACACGTTTTGGGATGGTGGCTAGACGATCCTGCTCCAGCTTTACAAGAGTTCACAAGTTTTACCAAAGTGAGATTTGCAAACCGGAACAAGGGAAGCAGTGATAGTACAAAATGCCCCCCCCGTCGATAAACAGCGCCTTTCTTGGATAATCGAGTCTTTGGAAACTACCACTGTTGATCAGTGAGAAAAAAAAAAGATGAAAGGGATTGAATTGAGATAAACGTATAAGGGGAGGTATAAGGGGGATGAAGCTCCCAAGGGGGATGAAGCTCCCAGTCAGTAAGAAAATTTCAGCGCCACAGAGGGACTGTTCCACGCGCTTCAGAAGAATTGGGTTTAATGTTCTTGGGGGCATGAGGAAGCGTTCTCAACCCTCTTTGGAATTTCGATCAGTGGCCGAGGTATAGTATGTAACATGCAGTCAGACGGGGTGGTGTCAGGAAAGAATGAAAGAGCTCTCCTTTGGCTGCCTTGCGCTGCCAATGGTAGTCGGTTACTAATTTGATTTAGGGAAGTAACAGCAACTGGTGGAAACGCCATGGTTAGGCTCATTCCATCCCTCTTGAAACTTCTCGATCTCGAAGATTTCGGAGATGTGTAAAAGTTCATTAGAACATGGTATAGGATGCATTTCTTCTTGTGGAATATGGAGAAAGTATCATCTTGTCTTGTGCTGGACAACGACGCGATTACAAAAACTGCTCGTAACTCGAAACGACGATATTCCAGCAGAATCCCACTGTCATGCTCCAATAAACTACGCAGCCACGCTCTCGCCATCTCCGGGACGAAGACTGTATGTTGATAGGGTTCAAACTAGTTCCAAAGGGTAATACCAAGGTTCTTATCTACAAATTGCGAGCAAGCATAAGCTATAAAAATATTTGAAGTTGCAATACGTTGTTGGAACACAACGAGTTTTAGCTTGCTGATTGTCCCCGATGTAGTTTGGTTTTCCGAACACGAAAACTATATCTCTGTGGCGCAAGAACGCTTGGAACTCATGCAATATGCGCCGCTGGACAAGTTTTCAGCGAATTCTCGTGTTTTTCGGCCTATGATTCACTGTGTACGTGAAAGCGATTCAACGTTACAGCTCAACGTGGAATGTGACTTTGAGAAGAAGCTTGATACACTTTTACCGTACTAGAGCTAGCTCCAACATTTTTATTTCAGACAACTATTCCTGTATCTCGGAATCTCTGTCAAAATCTCGTCCGTGCAGGAGCCACATCCTTGGCATGCCCAATCCTGTTCAAAGCTCAGGTAAAATGCTGTTTATATCCTTATTTTGTTTATATATTTATGTTTTTATTTGTATTGGTTTTGAAGTTACATGCAGTAGACGTGAAGCCAGGAGCAGCAGAATGACGGCAGCACTAGGGCACCTCATTGCGCTGGGGAGGATATACCTACGTTCGCCACCCCTCGCCCCAGCAAATTGGTACGAACAGCCCAACATGCAGCTAGAGATACCTTTACATCCTAGCCCTCCGTTCTGACATATCCACTTCCGTCTAGAGGAGTATGACCGCTCCCTATCATTTGGTCGGAACTATTGGAAAATGCTGCCGCCGAACAGGGCGCGCTATGCCTAAACAAACGAAACAAAGCTTCCAAAGAAGGCTTCGGCACTATTTACCCTTTACTGCCCCAGCCATGTCCGAAATCAGGGGCCAGTTCCTGACCGACTTTTTTCTCCGTGGGCAGAATTTGCTGAAAACTTGGCTCCAGGGGTACTTTGACCCGCTGAACACGAATATCGCATCCGCTTGACCCAAAACCTCTCCTAGCGCTCCGCACCACGGGCGCCGGCGCCAAAATACCCCAAATCATTGGCGCCTGTGGCGCGGGCGCCAGAAAGTTTCGGGCTGAGCGAATGTGATATTCGTATTCTGGAGGTCAAACTACCCCAGTAGACAAAATTTGAGCAAAATCTGTCCACGGAGAAAAAAGTCGGTCAGGAACTGGCCCTGTATTTTCAGGATGAACTGGTCAGTAACAGGGTAAATAGTGCGGAACAGCTCCATAGGATCTTCTTCCCTGCCCAGCCTGAACACCGACTCTTTTCTCGGTGTATACCACTACTGGCATGCCGTTTTTGCCATTTCTTACGGGATTCACAAGATGGACCTTCTGTGGTCTACAGCACTTAAATCGGTACGAGATCCGTGCGGAGCCGCTAGTATCAACGTTCGTGTTCTCGTTAGAAGTGGAACATTTTTCAAAGCGGAATTGTTCTTGTAGGAACCGTTGCGAAAGTTGTTCGAAATGAATTCAAAAGGCGGATTCGACAGGAAGAGATGGTATCACGCTGAATCTTGGTGTGATCAGAAGAAGAGCGCCACTAAACCGTCGGGTAGCCATGCTTACCGTCTTCCTCTTGATTCATCCTCACTCTTCCACTGGTCTAATTTGGCAACAAGAGCTGGTTTATACTTTGCGGCCAGGTCTTGCTGGTGCTGGCTGTGCCTGTGTCCAGTCGTCTCGAGTGGTTAGTGACAACAGAATGGGGTATCCAGATCTAGCGTCTGCCCAGCGTCTACGCGTGCCACGCAGCGTGGTTATAAGAGCGACCCAGAGACAAGAAAGAAAGGTATGCGGAGTAGTAGGGAGAGTAATTAGACCAGCTGGATCAGCGTCGGGAAGTTGCTGCGTGCAACTCGCCGCACCTGTACAACTACAACTACACTGTATTGATGAGGCGAGGGTGCGATTAGGTCAGGTAAAAGTGTGAAAAATATGGCGTCGTAGGGTAATGTGGTCCGCGACGGACACTCTCGTACCTGCTTGGTGGCGTAAAAAAAAATGTGAGTGAGAGGCGCTATACGGTGCGCAACACAAAAGATTCAGTGACGTCCTCCCCTCCAACTCTATCACTCGAAACCCGCCTTGTAAAGCTGCACGACGAAAAGTGTGTTCATGCAAGTCGTCACTGTACGATGGTCCATCGCTTGGTAGTAACGAGCTCTCAGGAATGCAGCTCTTTCTGTGGTGTCGGAGATGGCAGGTAAGTGAGGCACGTACATGCTGGTGAATCGGATGGGGTTACATTTAGGGCAGTTGCATGTCCTTTTTTTTCTGCTTCTATCGGTTCATCGTCGATTACTCAGCAACCTTGTCGTCCATGCATGGCACAACCCTTAAGTCCATTTCAGCTGCGGAAAAAAATCGGAGCACCCAGCTCAAGTCGCGCTTTTAATAGTTTACATACAGTTTTTTAAATTGCACAATAAAAACTTTCTTTGCCCAAATCAAGTAGCGCCCTTGAAATGCTATTCTAAAAAATAAAGTCGATTGATTAAAGTCGTTACCGGGACAAAATTTTGAAAGATTGTTGCGATGCGGCATGCCGCTGCCACTCTGATATTGGACCGCTTTCCAGAGTATCTGATGCTTTGGGAACAACATAGGTTTCTCGAGAGTTGTGAAAAAAGAAATGGAAAAACGAGCAAACATTCAGACAGGTGTGATCTTCTTCCGATGGATCGCAAAGCATTAGGGAACTATTGAAGAACGCGCGGTCCATACATCAGTTAGTGGCAGCGGACCATACGCATCCGCAAATAAATTCTGCCCATACAACGAATCTAATCAACAAACTTTATCTTTTGAAATATCATGCTAGGGCGTGCTTGATTCGAGAAATTGTATGTAAAACTAAAGCGCTCCTTGGCTTGTTTCCGATTCTTTTTCGCTGACTTTAGCGTGACGAACGAATGATTACTGGTGCCTTTGCCTATAATTTAAATAATTCTCGTGCTTTTCAGGCCCAGTTTGTGCGATTACGGTTCAACACGTCAATTTTTCCAGCGGCGCCTGTCCAGCTTGCTTACTACCGCCCCCCCCATTTCCCCATCTCTCGCTCCCGGTCCGGCCGCGGGTAACCGCTGGCGTCGTTGTAGCTTTTTGCAAGGCGTATTAGACCATGTCTAAACTTCCCTAGTTCGCTGACGGGGTGGCGGTGTCGGATGCTAGTGCGTGCCCGCTGAGTACAAACGCAGCCCTACAATTTTGAGCAAATAGCTAGGCCCATAATGGAGTATAAACACTTCTTCCAGGAAAATGCAAAGGAATGAGTGCATTCTTTGAATGTGTCGGCAGTGATCTAGCTAAACAATGTGGTCAAATGGCAACAGCGCTTCTGAGGAAATCTATCGAAGAACTCGGCTGTAGCTCAATGGTGAAGGAACCATTGCTCCTATATATGTTTCGGTACAACTGTGCTGTTTTTGGCTCACAGGCTTCTTTCAAATGGGCGGTAATTATCGTGTGGGGTGGTCGGCGACTTTGGCCTACACTTTACCGCATTCGCTAAACCGATAGACCAATGCTGATAGGAAATGATAATCAGAGTCTAAAGTCCTTTTATCTACGGCAAATATGTCCGCTGATTAGCGAGAAAACCCTACTTATCTGATTTCACAATTTCAGGCCTATAGTACAATATGGAGAGCTTTCCCCAACAACGGGCAATTTATAATCCTGCAAAGAGTGGCATAGTTGCGTAGTAGGTGCACATGTCATCAGTGGGGAGAAAGCCCCTCACTCCCCCTTTCCCCATCTCGGCGAAGGAATATTAGCGCAAGAAATTACAGGATATCGTTTTGCAGGTACCTCTGGAAGCGGCGGTGTCCTATGGTACCAACACGACAGTAAGTTGCTGATGATCAAGAAAGGCTAGGTAGCACAGAGGAATCCATAGATTGGAAAAGACTTTCCACACGTCAATATCAGTAGAGCACTTACAATATGGATGTTCGGGTGTCTACAAAGACTTCGCGTGAATTTCTTATCGCCCTGACATATGATTGAGTTCCGTGCCTTATAACGAAACTAAAGCCACCTCTTTTGAATGAGCTTACGCACTTGCGAATAAGGTGATCAGTTCACTTATGTGAACCATGTCCTCTAAAATCTCTCTTTCCTGTTAGAAAGTCTCGATTCAATTCCAGCCAGGGACCCTGCGCATGCAGTCGCCACACAGTAGCAGTAAGACAAATGAAAAAATTTTTGTTTTTTTGGACACTTGTATTCGAGGAGCCTTCTCAGGAAAATGTAGTGTGGTCTCCGACGTTCCTTCTAATTGACACCGAAGACCCAACGAGACCCTTATTGCACCTGTTTTAGAGCCAACAACTTTTGCTGGTTAAACTATGCAGTGGCACTTCCCGTGGTTTGGGGATCTTGATTCGTTCTGATGCTGGGGTAGGGATCAGTTTGAAGCGGCGCAAGGAAGTCGCCTTTTCACCAAGCTGTTGGGAGCGGGAGAACGCGATAAATCGGCACGCGTGTTTCCTTGGAGCTATACGAGAATTTCTCAAGGATTTACACTTAGAACAATTGAACAGATTATATTATATTTCCAATTCATGACAAGGGGGGGACTTCGGTCATCATATCCAGGCTATGTAGCAGAGTTCCCGAGGAGGCTCTGGATGGCAAGCGCGAAACCTCAAAGTGTTTAACTGGGGATGTGCCAAATCGAAATGGGCTTTAATCCCTCTGCCCACTGATTCATTTTTTTACGGAAAAGTAGTTGCTCCTCATATTGAAAGACGCTTTCGGCTGACTCGAAGTTAGTGGGCTAGCGAACGTGAGCACTGAGTGAGGAAGTAGTAAGCAAATGCTAAGAGCCGGCATAGCGGCGTTAAAGACCATTTATATTTAACGACCGAGGGAACACAAAGTCGCAGCAACGAAACCTTCAAAACGTCGTTGAACAGTACTCATTAAAAGACACTTTAAGAAACAGGGTGATACAACCACTTCCGGAAATCTGTGGCCAGAAATGAAATGAACAGACGAGGTCACCTCATCAACGATGAATATTGTTCCACATTTGAAGCAAGCTTCCGCTCTGAGAGGTGCGCGTGGAGTGGGTGGTCCCTCAATCAGACCCTCCATCCACTTTGTATAGAGAGGTCTGCAACCAGATATGGGAGAGACGGATTCATAATCACCATCCGAAGGAGGATCACCCTGTACACATCCTATGTGGAATAGTCACTTCCCTTCCATCGCTGCTACGGCTACCCACGCACAGGGTACAGCATCGCTGTCGTGAAACACATAGGGAGTCGTAACTTGTGCTCCGCGCAGGGATTGGGGGGGGGAGTCGTAGCTTCGTTGTGTGGGAGAGAGGGGAGCTTCGATGGCTTTCAGAGAAACTTGCGCGTTGGGAAAAAATTCCTTCCGGTTGTTGACTTTTCGTGATTTTTCCTCCTGTTTCATGTGTATTATATACCGCCCCTCCCCCCGGGCCACGACTTCCGCCGACACCAGCCCCTCCGACAGCAAAGTTTTGGGGCAAATAGGAAATGTGGGAAATTTGGTCAGGTAGGAGTTGGGGAAGGGGGACTTCGAGAGCTCCAGGGGGGGGAGGGCGTGCTGACACCACACATTTCACACATCACGATGCTCTACCCTGCCCACGCATGGCGACTAACATCAGATTGAATCAGCAAAGAGGGCTGTGGAGCAGTGAGAAGCTCGCACAGTGCAGCACTGACACCTGATCTGATCTGGAATCCGGCTGTGTTACATGCCCTGGCTGCAGACATATCAAAATACTCAACAAAATCACTCTCCAAAAATTAAGAAAAGTCCAAAAGAAAATAGAATAATTTGGAACAGTCCATTTAGTTCTAATGATACTTCGGTCGTTGCAAAAGAAATGCAGGATTTCGTTTTTGTATTTAATACTTATTTTATTCCAATAAAATGTAAGTGTTATATATCATTCGAAAGCTTATCTAATGCTCTTTCTAAATGATACTTCAAGATTGGTTGTAATTCTTTTTAGAGGCCACAAAATCGTTGAAGGCGTTTTTGACATCGTCTTGGTTTTTTTGAAGCCTTTTTCTCTCTAAGATAGTTGTCCAGATGCTTGAAAAAGTGGTGATCGGTGGGCGACAGGTCTGGTGAGTATGGTGGATGAGGCAGAGTTTCATAGCCCAATCCGTTTTATTATTTCTGGAGGGTAAATTGTGCAAAGTGTGGTCGGGCATTGTCGTGGAGAAGAGTCCGGAATCGTGGAGTCCCTTCATATTGACCAACCTTGGGCACATGCGTTAATGGCTTCTGATGCATTTCGTCGATTTGTCATTGGAGCAGTACTTCTCGGGCCGTTAGTTTTCACCAGGATTCAGGAAGCTGTGATGGATGAGACCGGCGGCAGACCACCAAACATGAAGTTCATCTTCAAGGCTGGTGTTGCCACAGCGAAACTTCTGGAACCAACGTTGATACTTCCTTGACCCAAACTTCGTTGATGTTCCGAGCTGTATCGGCAGCTTTTCGTCCCAGCTGAACTCATAGAAGAAAATAGTGCGAAATTCACGTTTCGACATCTGCAATAAAATGTCAATAAAAATTATAATAAAATGAATTACAACCAATCTTGGAGTATCATTTAGAAAGAGCATGAGATGAGCTTCCGAATAGTATATAACACTTCATATTAAAGTAACATATTATTGGAATAAAATAAGTATGAAATACAAGCAAGCAAAATCTTGCATTTCTTTTGCCCAACGACCTAATAGTTTCCAAAACATGACGTATCCTTGTGCCTGCGATACAGACATTTCTCCCGAAAAAATATTTGACTTTGTAAGGGAGGGAATTATCCCAGAAAAACGTAAGATTTTTTGGCATGAGGATGCTTGGTGCCACACATATAGCAGAGCAATTTTTCCGAGAATCAGATCAGATTTAGAACAATAAAAACTTGGGGTGTCCATAAATCATGGATGCCCTGTACACACCAGTAGGGTGTCTAACAACCTGTCAGTATTCATTCCAGATTATTTCAAAAACGCGCAGAAAATGGAGCTCGAAGTGGATTTGACCGCGATGAAACCTGTCCGTGTCGTTGATGGTACGCTTAGTGGTTTTGACGAAGTTGTGTGGCCACACTGTCCTCGTTATTCAGCTTCTCATAATCTTGATTACAGACTATCCCAAAATGCCCGAAATAGCTTTCGATAAAGATACTAGTAAAAGAAGCGCAGGTACGTTAAATTATAGAAGCATGCCGTTCTGTTTTTTAATTAGCATATTTCACTTAACATTTCCAGAATTGAAGGACGAGGCAATGTCCACACTCATTACAACGGATGCTTTTACCACTGACGGTGAGCTAGTTGGGCTATTATTTGGGGACTATAAGTAATGAGCATTACCGAGCAGTTACTGAGGGCTCACACTGATATCATCGCAATCAGTCAGAGGGGATGGAATGATCTCACCCGGCTTTTCCATCACTGGTTGTTCTCTTCCCGAATCGACCACTAACTGATCACTATTGGTAAAAAGTGAGCAGGAGGCGGGCCCATCCCGCCCATTCTGACATCGCCCCGACAAAGTGCGACCTTAGGCTGCGTTCATACTTTGCGGCAGTGTCCCCAGCGTCTACCAGCGTCCACGAGCGTTCCGAGCATCCGGCAGCGTCAGTGACCAGGAAAGTATAGCGATCTACCGTCCGCCAGAATCTGCCAGCGTCTAGCAGCGTCCACGAGCGTTCCCGAGCTTCCGGCAGCGTCAGCGACTAGGAATGTATAAAACGATCTACCATCTGCCAGCATCTGCCAGGTCTACCAGCGTCCACCAGCGTTCACCAGCGTTCACCGGGAGCAGAGAGTATGGTTAAGTAGGAAGGTAGCAAACAGCTGGATTAGGCGTTGAAAATGCGGCCTGTGCAACACATCTGTTAAAGATGGTGAACGCTGCCGCGAATTATGAACGCAGCCTTATCAAGTAGCCTGTTTCACCCATGCTGGAAGTACAGCTGCTGTCTCAACTAACGAGCCTTACCAGTATGACTTATTTTGATCCTTGCGATGATTTTGTATTCCAATGATCCGCTTCCGCCAGGTGGACGGAGAAAGGTAATAACTCGAAACCCGTTTGTAACTTCTTCTCCGGAAAACGATACTCTTTTAAAGGAATCATCGAAACCTCCTCGTCTCCGTCAGAGCTCTCAACCGTTAATGACGAAGTTGTCACGGAATCTAAGAGGAGCTCTCCTGCCCCGAAAACGACGTCGAAATTGGAAGACGATGAAGATCTGGAGCTTACGACACCAGAATTAGAGCTGGAGACAACAGAGTTCATACCAACGACCACCACTCATCCTCCATACTGCATTCCATACCGGGATCATCCCACAATTTCACGTTGCCATAAGGGCCTAATGGCGTACGTTTCTAACTTCTTACTCACTGTATTCTCTCTAATCCGCATTTTCTACATTCAGAAAGTTGTCCGCTATCACTGAAGAGTCGCCGCAATCCGCGTCAGTACGCTTCCCACTTTACAATGTTTCAATCGACACGTTGGTCGAACTCTGCGATGACTTCAGGGATGCAATTAAGTGCATGGAGGGTGTGGAGAAATTCTGCAAACATCCGGTATGTTTTCACAAAGGCATTTCAGAGACGGCTCTTTCACAATCAGAGCACGTCCTGACGCTGGGGAAAATCTTCGGAAAACACAACCCTCCTTGCCCACCCGTCCAGCCTAACATCTTCCTAGTTTCTTATATTTTCCCACTTTCTATCTTACCCCATTTCTTCAACATTACGCAAAAAATTCTCGGGTTTTCTTCCAAGAATTAGCTGTCGAGCGGAAGGGGTGGAGAGGAAGAAACGTCCCCTCTCTCGTAACGGCGAGCAAGTACAACGACCCCCCCCACCGTTAGAACTCTCCTAACGTGTGTTTCTTGGATCAAATACGCTTCTCTCTCTCCCAACGACCTAATACGCCCCCCCCCCCTGGGCTTCCCCAACGTACGAAGTACTCTGTTCACAATCCCTGGTCTCGCTCAAGGAACCAAAAAAATACTAAAAGAAATCATTGCTCCGATCCCTCGCCATTCTCTAACTCTCAGGTCTCAGCTCGATCTTTGATGCCGTCAAATCGGCAGTTGCTTTGGCATTATTCCACAATTAGTACCCCAAAAACTCAAACTAATTTCCGGTGAAACTTAGCTCACACAGGTTATTCAGTGCCTCGACCAAGAATATGGCAATCATTTTTGACGCTGACGCCATTTGGCACCACTACCTTTCTCACCAAAATCGATGAAGGCTTTTATGCAGGGGTGATTTGACACCTCATCACGAATATAACGTCCGCTTTTTTTTTCGTTGGTACCATTTCACGCCAAATAGCGCGGACGTGGTGCGACCATCTTTTTCCATAACCAATGAAAACTTGCATATTGGAGTGGTTGATATCCTGATCACGAAAATTGCATCCACTTTTTGACAACAGAGCAACTAAGCGCTCTGCTCAGACTCAGGCTGGGAGGGGGAGGGTAACTTCTCGCCGATCTCAGCTCAACGAAGCGGGGTGATCAGGTACTCCACCCGTCGCCGCTAATAACAAATGGCATGTTCGTGTTCGTGTTAGGATATCAAATCTCCCCTGTATAAAAGTTTTCATTGATTTTGGTGTGATAGGTGGTGGCGCCAAACTGGCGCCTACTCCAAATGGCGCCAGCTCTGAAGGTGAATGTCATTTTCGTGGTCAGGGCACTCAGCAACGTCTGTGGGCAGAGCTAAAGGAACACTGCCTGCTTTTTTAGCTACTCGAATTCTTCAACCAACAGTTCATTTCCACCTGTACCCTTTTGAAAATGAGGGACTTCGACGTAGATTACGCTTGTATTCAAAAGAAGCTCATCATGAGAAGTGTGAGTTTTATAGTTTCACCTGAGCCCGAATGCTCAAAGACAAACTGTACACTCACCTCCGAGGACGGTTCGTGCCATGCGCGAGGAGAATGGGTGCTCAGACGCAGTGCTACTGCTACTTCTTCTGCTCACAGGTGAACTGGGGGCGAGGCTTGAGTGTAGCGATACCAAGGTGCCGTCTTCAAAATCCGTGCGCCTTGCCGTACGGCTATCCACACGCCTAGTCATAGCTAAAGGCACTGCTTATTTGCGATTTCTCACTTTCGGGAGTTCTTCACCTCTGACTTCATTTTCGCTGCAGGATTCTGGTATTGACGTACTCAGCGGTAGGGAACAATCAGAAGTGAAAGGGAGCAGCCAAGTAGCGCATTAGCTTACGGCTAGTCGCTTGTCTGGCCGTGTGGCAGCTCGGGGAGTATGGAGACATCGGAGAGTATGGGGGACACCCTCCTGCTCCATTCCGGTGCACTTTTGGCCGGAGAAAATTGCAAGCTGTTGCAAAGGCGAACCCATTCTCCTTACACATGTCACTACAAGGACCAGGATGACGGGGGTGAGTGTGCAGTTCGTCTTCAAGGAGCTCTTAGCTTTATTTAATACTGCTTTGAGCAATCATTTGTTTATTAAGGATTGTTTGGTCCACATAAACAATACGGTGCACCCCGCAGAGAAATGTACTGGTCATGAGGACTTTCTCAGGTAAAGTAGTAGTGTTGAATGATTTGAACACTCTCAAAGGTGCATTCTGCTACAACCTGATATGTAAAATGACGATGAGCAGGTCTGCAGCAGCACAGAATGAGCTCTTTCTGCCGTTGCGGTGAGGATGCCAGGCAACTTGTGACTTAATCCGATCTGCCGATGACGTATAGACCTGGATCCTTCGTTGATTGGGTTACTGCGCTCTATCGCCCGCAGTTGTTTGTGCTCTTACCCGCGCGCTTATGCATCTCTGCGAATCCGCATGCTCGTACAATGCTGAAAATCAAACGAGCCTTACTTGGGGTGTTTGGTTGAGCTCTTTTGCTTTCCTCTTTGCTGACAAGTCTACTGTGGGTGCTATACGAATCAGACTAACGACATGCAGTCGCGGATGTCTTCAAGTAGTCTACGTAAGCCCAAACGCTTGATGAGGACTAGGTTCTCCAGTCTACATCAGAACATACCTCCCTAATTATTAAAGGCATAAGGCATAATTTGGGGCTCGTTCTCAAATGAT